GCTCTTCCCCATGGTAAACAGCAAAAGGCTGACACAGAACCAGGAAGAGCTAGAACTATAAAAACATCTTTGAGGTGTAGACAACCTGACTAGAGGAGTCTGGGGTCTGTGTGTGTACACAGTAGTTTAAGAAAAAGTTCACGTTGAAATATGAGGATTAATTTCTCCAAAATTTAAAGTGCCTTTTCCTCATTTCAGAAGTTGATTTTTGTTTGCTTTCTCTCTGAGCTAAGTTCACTAAAAACTCTGAAAGATAGGAATCAGTTTTATTCCACAGATACTGCTCCAGATAATATCCAAAGATATTATTCCACAACTTCATGTCAAGGTCTGAAGAACTCTCCTGTCCTTGGATCCCTTGAACAAGCAGTAGCTGTACCATAGGCGTCTTACAGAACTAATGAGGACGAAACCAGGACACATTTTTAAGTGGCACAAGTGTGCCTCAAATACTCCTCTTTCGTTAATTCACAAGCCTGGTTATGAACAGTGACACTGATTCTGGGAGCTGCCTCTCTACCTGCTCTGTGAGCCTCTTACCACTAAGGAAGACGTGCTCAGGGGGCTTCCGAATGTCAGACAGAATCACGTTGTCCTTCCCAAATCGTTTCCTAAAGGGAAAATCAAACGAGTTGGTACACTGAGGACATAACAGGTCCTATGAAAACAGTCTTTCCAACAGGAACTGTCATGTCTCGTCAGCCTCCAAATCCCTCCTCTTCACACCTTTCTTCCCTCTTGTCCTCAACTCACAGCCCTGCAGTTGCAGCCACACCCAGGGCTGCACCTCCTGCTTCTACCTCAGCCCATTATCATCCCGGTATCTGTCACCAATTTCTTCCCAGTGCCCCTGAGTTTTTCCCTTTGCCTCCCCGTTCTTCTCTCCTCTTATCCTTTTATCCCACTCTCCAAATCCCACACTGTTCCTTTTCAGTTTCTGCACATACAATATACTTCCCTCTGCTCCCAAACGTCTGAAAACCAAGTGATTTACTGTGAGGCAGGCCTTACTTTGCCTAACCTAGGAAAGGCAGAGGGAAAAGGACCAGCTTCGGGGATGCTGAGTCAAGGACCTGAAACAATGTCTGTGATATGAAGCGTCACAATGAAATGCATTCCAAACGGTCATTTACATACGATATCTTAAAGTAAGCAAGAGGGGAGAGAAGCAAGAGGGGTGAGAAAAGATTCAATGGTTAAATGGGGCCAAAGACAAGCCCTGAAAAGCTCAGAATTTAAATTGAAACTTTGCGAGCTCTTACCTCAAAAAGCTAGCAAGCCCCACTCCAAGCTGGCCAAGACCCCCTGGATAAAGAAGAAAAAAGTGAACCTTTAATCTAAATCTAACCAATTCAATTATTCCCAGTATGTAATAGAAGAAAACTCTACTGGCACTCTTAGCTAACTAGGTAAAGCCCCAGGTTGGCCTGATAGAACAGAATTACCTCCTCGGAGCTATGACAGAGATCGGGTACAGGTAAGATTAGTTCCAGAGACAAAAGTGCTCTCCAGCACAGAGTGGCTGAGGGGAAGCCAGGGTACAGGTAAGAGAACAATCACGGAAGAGCAGGACCTTCCTGACCTCCTGGTCAGGAAATCACTACCAGCTTCGCCTTTGTTATTTGATGGGCTGTGAAAATAATCTGCTACGGGTACCAGAACACTCAAAGCTAGATATAACAGTTTGATATCAACCTCTGCTGGGATTATCCAGAGCACCCTCCTATTATTAGACCTGGAGAGGAATAGGAAGGGAGAAAGAAAGAAGGGACAAACCAAGAAGTCACCTGAAAAAAGGGGCAGATATCTGGATGGGCAAGGAGCTGCCAAGAACATTAAAGATGAGTATTACAGCATCTTAATTTGGACGCTTACAAATGCCACTGATGGAAATGGGAGAGCTAGGGGTCTGGGAGCACATTTAGGGGAATACAACCCTAGATTCCATTTGGGAGAAAGTAAGAGGCAGGAAGACATGGACAGTGGGATTTCCTGTAAGCGTGTGTCAACATGGGACTGAAACCAGCCCACTGACGGTAACACTGGGCCCTGGAAGATGCTTTGTTGGTGCAGGGAGGAGGGAATCAAACAACACACAGACAAGAAGCTGGGAGAGTCAGGGGGGGAAGTGCAGAGGGAACTGGCCTCACTTGAAACCCAGTTACAGCAGGAGAGGAAGAGGAGGTGCCAGTGAAAGAAACACACACACACACTGAGGAATGTGAGAAGGATAAGGACGTGAAGCCAAGGGATGAAACTGGCAAACAGAGGACAATAAAACACGTCAGTCAAATCAGAGGGGGGCTTGAGTCAGCTGGAAGGACTTGCAGACAGGCGGTCAAGTTTGCAGTGAGCAGATACAGAACCAGGTGTTGGGTGGCTACGAGGGGAGAGGGGTCAGCAGGCCAGTCTGTGGACAGTAAGCTGCAAGTGTCACGAGGTGATGGTGAGGCGTTCCTCGGGCCCTGGGCAGGCCCTGGCTATCTCTTCCATACAAACGTGCAGGAACTGCCTGGCCTGAGAAGCCTGGCCAAGGAAAGATGCGCCTGATTCCAGAGGCCACGTTCTATCCACACACCTTGGCTCCCAGGCCATTCCTCGCAGGAGAGGGGAACTGAGTCCTACAGCAGCTTTTTGGGCCTCTTCAGGTTCCCAGGTCCTCCCTTCAGACAATAAAAGATTTGGGCAGGGAAACCAAGCCCTGGCAACAGCGGCAAAATAAGGACAGGGGGCTTGTGCTATTTCGGAGGGAGCCAGGAGTGGAAAAGGGAGTTTCTGATTAATAAGTGTTACCTGGCGGCATGTTAGACATTCCAAAAACAAATACACCGCCACACAAAGAAAATAACAAAGCCACAAATGTGGAAAAAAGAAAAAAAACCCAACCTGTAATTAAGACGCGCGGTTGGTCTGCTTCAGAGAACGAGGTAGAGTGGAAGTTGGCATCCGCTGGAATCTGCTGAGGGGAGGTGCCCAGAAACCGGCTGGGCAGGACAGGAGCCTGGCAGCCACAGGCCGGTCTCTGCAGCATCCGGCTGGCAACCCGCCGCAGCATCCAAACGACCGGCATGATCTCTGCAGACACTGTAACACAAAAGGAGCAGAGTCGAGAAAAGATACATGCACCCCAATGTTCACTGCAGCACTATTTATACTAGTCAAGACGTGGAACCTAAGAGTCCATCAACAGATGAATATGGATAAAGAAGATGTGGTGTGTGCGCGCGTGCGCGCGCGCACACACACACACACACACACACACACCGGAATATTACTCAACCATCAAAAAGAATGAAATAATGCCATTTGCAGCAACATGGATGGACCTAGAGATTATCATACTAAGTGAAGTAAGCTAGACAAAGACAAATACCACATATCATTTATATGTGGAATCTAAAATACGATACTAATCAACATATCTACAAAACAAAACAGACTCACAGATATAGAGAACAGGCCTGTATCAATAGTTGCCAAGTGGGGGAGGCTGGGTAGGGGAGGGAAGGAATGGGAGTTTGGGATTAGCAGAGGCAAACTATTATATATAGGATAGACAAAGAACAAGGTCCTACTGTATAGCACGGGGAACTATGTTCAATATCCTGTGACAAATCATAATGGAAGAGAATATGAAAAAGAATATATATATATATATATATATATCTGTATAACTGAGTCACTTTGCTGTATAGCAGAAATTAACACAACACTGTAAATCAACTATATGTCAATAAAATTTAAAAAAACAAACAAAAGAAGCAGAGTTCAGTATGTAACTGCTTGCCCTCCCGACCCCTCAAAACAAAAACCCTTTAACCACAACTAACACTAAGATTGCCGGCTCACGAGCAAAGCCATGTTCTGGATTCATGAATCGAACTAGAGAGACTGCTGATTGCACAGACAGGGAGCCAGTCAAGAGCCCGCCCTGTGAGCCCAGCCCTGTGAAAAGGGGATAAACGTCACTGGTGCAAAGTGCAGGCAAACAAAGACTGGCCGAGATTTAGAACTCGAGCTGCACAGTGCTGACACCAACTGGGATCTAAAGTCACAGCGGAGGTTACTGCGTACAGAGCCGTCCACGCCAGGAACATCATGGATCCCCGCAAAGGCCTCAGATCTTCACAACTGTAATCATCTGTCCACATACCATCGAGGTGCGAACAGGTTCCCGATTAAATAACACAGAGCCCTGTGACTCTCGTGCTAACTCAGATGTTATCGTTAGGATGAACCAGACTAGAAAAGCAGATAGTTAAGGTAAAAAGGCCCCTGGCAATACTGAGTAAGCTGTGACTAATTTCTGTTTCACTGCCAACTCTTTAGGAAGGAACATTTAGAAAAGCCATTTTCTCCTCTGTTCCCAGATCATGTATATTTCATTGCAGTCCAGCTCCCCTTCCTAGTCAGCTTTACCCAGGCAAGCATGTCACAAGAGCAGATCAGACCTGCTCAGTTCTAACAGCGACCTTCCTGCCCCCAAAGCTCAGGCCTTTGCACTCTGCACACTGCCCGTGGCCTCCACGTCCATCAGCCGTCAGATTTCCAACAGCACTGGCGGATGAGCCTTCAGAGCGACCCCAGTGCCTAACCCCCTCACAAAGAAGTGGCCCGATCTCAACCATCTTCTATTTTGCATCATAAAACAAGAAAAAGTAAACCACACTTGGAGACATTTCCCATTTAGGGTCTGAACTTAGCCCCTCAACCCAGTGCCTCGAGTAGGTAACAGTAATTCTAAGTTAAAACCGCCAGAGGTATCAGAAGCTTTCCTGGAATCCCTAAAATCCAGATTATAGAAAACAAAAGGGCAATACAATCTGCTGAAACCCTATGCTTGAACACCCTTCTGTGAGCCACAGAGGTCTTGTTCTTTAGGACACCGAAATAAGGCGGGCAGAGCCCCGATGGCTTCTGTCGGGTCAGGGGCTTGGCCCATCAGATCCGCAGCCTGAGATGCAGCCCCGCCAAGGTCCTGAGGCCCTGCATCCCGGCTAACTTTCCCAAACAAGAAGAAGACAACCTTCTGATGGCACATCTCCGGATTGGAAGGGAGGTCGCCATAGGAGAGACCCAAGCTTTTCCTCCATCATCCCTTCAAACCATCTCTGCAGCCACTGCTGACACCCGAGACCAGGTAAGCACTTTGATTCTTAAAGTCACTTATTTCATCAAGTTCAAGAGGGTGGCGAGGAAGCCAAGAAGCAGCCAGATTTACCAGAACATCTGAAACTCAAAGACAATTCTCAGTTCCCGGAAGCAGAGTAGTGATGGCCACAGGTGAATAAGTTTGTTTTGTTTTGTTTCTTTTAAAGGTTGAAGACACTGGAGTCTGGGAAAAGGTAAACCCTGAAGACATGAAACGGGGATGTGAAATACGTACGACTCAGTTCATCTTCTCTTTCCCCAGAAGGGGAAAGCATGAAGGAGGCACAAATTCTTAATTGAATATAAAGTATTTTAGTTTAACAATGTGGACAATTCATGCTTGAGTTGGTTCTTATTCCACAACGATTACTAGCTAACATCTGATGTTCACGACAGGCCAGAGGCCTGTGAATGTCTTTCTGAATTATAGCATTTAACCATGGCAAGCACCACCCCTCTCAGGGAACGCAGTTCTTAACCGTCAAGCAGCTCTACTGTCCCTATAATGGGATTGCTTTGATTAACAATGCACGTACAAAACCAAAAAACCCTCCAACCATCTACCGCATGTAGCTTATTATCTTGCCACTGCCAAACTCAATTTAATACTTTTAAGGCAGCAGCTCTCAAATTTTCTGGTCTCTGGACTCTTTCACACTCTTAAAAATTGGGGACTACAGAGAGCTTTTGTTTAAGTGGGGTCTATCTAACAATGTTTGCTGTAGTAGACAGCAAAACTGAGAAACATTTAACCTATGAATGAGTTCATTTAAAACCAATAAACATATTAAAATAAACATATTTTATGAAAATAACTGTATTTTCCAAAACAAAAAATTTACTGAGTGGCACTGTTTTACATTTACTTGTCTCTTTGATGTTTTCCTTCATAGAAAACAGCTGGATCCTCACATCTGCTTCTAACTCAAACTGTCTGCTGCTTTGATTGAAGTAAATGAAGAAAATCCAGACTCAAAGCAAAGCAGTGGGGAAAGGAAGCCGTATTTTGAAAGCCTTTTCAGATAATTCTGGGTACTCATCTTGGATATCCAAAACTCAACACATGGTAGTTTCTTAAAGGTTAGCTGCAACGTAGAATCTGAAGCCATTATCAGTGAACTTTTGTACCTGCTACATTAAAACCCACTGGTATATCTAATGCTTTGAACACATCTTTTTGTTTTTTAAAGATTTTTTTGATGTGGACCATTTTTAAAGTCTTTATTGAATTTTTTACAATATTGCTTCTGTTTTAATGTTTTGGTTTTTTGGCTGCAAGGCATGCAGGAATCTTAGCTCCCGGAACAGGGATTGAACCTGCACCCCATGCACTGGAAGGCAAAGTCATAGCCACTGGTCCGCCAGGGAAGTCCCTTGAACACATCTTTTACTCCTGCATGGTTTTGTAATTTCATACATTGTTTTTTTGGAAAATATTGGTTCAGTGAGTTATGCAGAGCTTCCAACTGTTAACACACTTCACTGTACGATACCCAAAAGTCATACTGGTTGATATCACGGGTCTCATCAGAAAATTCCTAAGTATTGGGAAGCTGTCAAATTCACGGTATTGGATACAACTGAACTTGCAACAAATACCTTGGCAGGCTCGCTTGGTTCATTTTTTTAGAAAATGTATGCCGATTATCCAGGTATGAATAACCATCATTGGTCATTCTTTCAAGCAAAAATGGTTCTCTATGAAAAACAGGGACCAGTTCAGCTCACAATTCAATCACACAAAATGCTTTCTCTCAAGACAACCATCATATTTCAATATGGAACAAGTACATCCACTTACCACATGACACATTAAAAAGATGTCTCTAGGGTCAAGATTTAATAAAATCAGTCATTTTTACTGCTTCATAAAGGGCATTCTTAAGTAAAGCTTTCCATTTTTTAATTTTATTTTTCACTGAAAGTACATGGCAGTGAAGAATACCATGACTTCTAGTACCATGTCGTGCAAATGCCTTGATTCCTGCAAAGGCACCAGTAGTTTTAGCAGGTGTGACTTGTGCACCATCAGTGCAAATTCAACACAGTTGTTCCGGAATAAACCATGAAATTCAAAAAAGTTATTCCACGCTGAATACTTTGGCACTATTTGTGTTTTCTGTCAAACGTTCACCAAAAAGATATTCTTTGATAATTGCTTTGGCGCTGATACCAGACAAATACAAACAAAATGGCAAGTGCAGCCATGACTACAAATTCTTCCACGTGTAAGGTAAAAATACACTTCTCTGTCAAGATACCAAACTAGTCTTCGTGTTTGCAGCTAAATCTTTAATTTGACAAGTTACTGTATTATTAGAAAGTGGCAGTGCTATTATTTCTTTCAATGCATTTTCATCCAAACAAGGCTTTATTGTGTGTTTCTCCAGCCACTGCAATTTGATAACCTATCTTAATAGCTTTTTCTTTTCTAGTTTGGAAAGCTGTAACAAATAATTTTTGGCTTTTAAAGAGCTCATCATATCCACATTTAATTCATTCGTTTTATTTTTCTTTAGATGATGAATGGTTGGTCTAAGAATAATGCTATTACGACCAAAGTACTATTCAAAAAAGTTCTGTGGCATCAGACACATAAGGTAAATTTCTGACATCTGTAAAGCTTGACGAAAGCCTTCATATTTTCTTGTATTATTTAGTTCTGCACATTTACTTGGAGTAAATTCCTCTTTTCATGAGTCAGAGAACTCCGTTATGTCATTGTTTCATTTTTTTTTCAGCATTTATACGCATGGTACAGCTTTGAGTTGAAAAAAATCAAGTCCTCTAATATCCCCCCCCCCTTTTTTTTGCGGTGCGCGGGCCTCTCACTGTTGTGGCCTCTCCCGTTGCGGAGCACAGGCTCCGGAGGCGCATGCTCAGCGGCCATGGCTCACGGGCCCAGCCGCTCCGCAGCAT